AAAGGAAGTCAAAACAGGCGATGAGCAACTGAGGCTCAATCCCACTCCGGGGCGAGGGAGATGGGGCATTTATCCTCCACCCTGCCCGTCACTGCCTCCTTCTCACCCTGGCTCGGGTGGAGGGAACCCACAGGTGTAGTCACAGCTTGTCTGGGACATTGGGTGTGTGCTGGATTTCTGAGTGCCAAGGAATATGGGCAGGGCAGCCCCACCTCCACCTTGCCTGGGCACCTCTCAGAAGCTATGAAACCCTGGGTAAGCCCTGGCCCTGCAGGCCTCAGTTTCCCTATCTGGAAAGTGCACAGAGAAGAGGAGGAGAGCAGTGTTCTCAAAGGGGCATTTGGCTGGGTCTGGAGACGTTCTGGGTTGTCACAACAGGGAGGGAAGGTGTGTCTGGCATCTAGTGGGTAGAGACCAGGGATGCTGCATCCTACAGCACAGAGGACAGATTTTCACAACGTGGAGTTATCCAACCCAAATTGTCAGCAGTGCCTCAGCTGAGAAACCTGGGCTAGGATGCATCCACCTCGGCCTCCCAAAGTGCTGGGATTACAGGTGTTAGTTATAGCACCTGGCCGAGAAATTCTAAGAATGATTTTCAACTTGAACATGCCAAGCTCTGAGTATATCCCAGAGAAGGCTTATACCAACCTCATGCCAGTCAGGGACCAGAGCTCCGCTACCCCAAGGGCCCCAGGCTGCCCCTCAGAGGCAGACGAACCCAGGCTCTTCAGCTCCAAATCTGCTATAAGCCTCTCCCCGTTCTCCTGTATAACACTGGGATATCCCTCAAGAACTGCAAGGGGAGAGCCAGGACCATCCTTAATGCCAGGACATAGTCCTGTAAGTCCTCACTCCTCAACCCCAGCCCTCAGGTTTTAAAATAATCGATTGTACTTTTTAGAGTAGTTTTAGGTTCACAGCAAAATTGAACAGAAGATACAGAGACTTCCCTTCTACCTATTCCCCCAAAACATGCACAGCTTGCCCCGTCATCAACACCCCTCACCAGAGTGGAACGTTTGTTACAGCTGATAATCTGCACGGACACATCATCACCCCAAGTCCATGGTTTACGTTAGGGTGAATGAGCGTATTCGATGTACATTCTGTGAGGGTGGGCCGACGGGTAATGACATGAATCCACCATTACTGTAGCATACAGAGGTTGCACTGCTCTAAAAAGCCCCTGTACGCCACCCATTTATTCTTCTCTCCCTTCAACCTCTGCAAACCACTGATCTTTTTGCTCTTTTCATAGTTTTTCCAGAATGTCACAGAGTTGGAACCACACAGAGAATAGTTTTTTCAGATTGGCTTCTTTCACTTACTAACATGCATGTAAGTTTCCTCCATGCATTTTCTTGGCTTGATAGCCCATGTTTTTTAGCACTGAATAATATTCCATTGTCTGGATGTGCCTGTTTTTATCCATTCACTTGCTGAAGGACATCTTGGCTGCTTCCAAGTTCTGACAATCATCCATAAAGTTGCTATAAACATCCATGGATAGGCTTTTGTATAGACATGAGTTTTTAACTCATTTGGGTAAATGCCAATGAACCTGATTCCTGGGTTGTACGGTAGGGTATGTTTATTCTGTTAAAAACTGCCAAGCTGTCTTCCAGAGTGGCTGCATCATTATTGCGTCCCCACCAACAATGAATGAGAGTTCCTCTTGCTCCACGTCCTCACCAGTATTTGCTGTTGTCAGTGTTCTGTATTTTCGCCATTCTAAAGGTATATAATGATATACACGATTGTTGTTTTGCCCCGAGATTTTACGGCAGTGTGATTTGGAACAAAAAGCAGGTTTTGGGATCACCTACACCTTGTATTAGTCCATTCTCACCTTGCTATAAGGAAATACCAGAGGCTGGGTAATTTATAAGAAAAGAGGTTTAATTGGCTCCTGGTTCTGTAGGCTGTGCAGGAAGCACAGTGGCTTCCGCTTCTGGGGAGGCCTCAGGAAACTTACAATCATGGCGGAAGGTGAAGGCATGTCTTACGTGGCCAGGGCAGGAAGAAGAAAGAAGCGGGGAGGTGCTACACACTTTTAAACAACCAGATCTTGTAATCACTCACTCATTCACTATCAGAACAGCACCCAGAAGGTGCTGTTCATGAGCACCCATTCATGAGAAACTGCCCCCATGATCCAGTCACCTCCCTCCAAACCCCACCTCCAATACTGGGGATTACAATTCAACATGAGATTTGGGTGGGACAGAGATCCAAATCATATCACAGCTGGACTCAAGTCCTAGCTCTGCCACCTACCAGTGGGACCTTGGTCAAGTTGCTTAACCTGTCTGGGCCCTGGGAGAAGCAGCACAGTGCAAAGTAGCACTTGTGTTTTGGGGTGTCTGCCCATGTAGCCCTTAGATTGGGATGTCTATGGAAACTGCCTTTTTTTTATGCTTAGTATCTTAATCCTGAGGTCCCCTTGTCCTGGTCCATTTCCTGTTGCTACAAAGGAATGCATGAAGGCTGGGTAATTTACAAAGAAAAGAGGTCTACTTGGCTCATGATTCTGCTGGCTGAAAGTTCAAGACTGGGCATCCAGTGAGGGCCTCAGGCTGCTTCCATGTGTGGTGGGAGGTGAAGGGGAGCCCATGTGTGCAGAGATCACAGGGACAAAGAGGAAGCAAGAGGGGAGCAGGTGCCAGATTCCTTTTAACAACCAGCTCTCTTGGGAACTAATAGAACAAGAACTCAGCCCAAGGGAGGGAGACATCCATCCCCATGCCCCATACCCTAAACACCTCCCATTTTGCCCCATCTCCGGCACTGGAGATCAAATTCCAACATGAGGTATGTAGGGAACAAATATCCAAGTCATAGCACCCTGTTCCCACATGCCTAGTTTCTACTCCTCTGTACCGTGGATGAGTGCCTATCTCTTTAAGGGGCTTCCCCAAGCATGGATCATGGAGCCAATATCTTAAGCCAAACCATCTCAAACATAACACCACAGTTGACTAACATCCATCTGCCCATTTTTTGCATACTTCAAAATAAGATAGAGGTATGGCTGCTGTGACAAAGGCCAATGAGAGACAAGTATATTTCTTTCTTGGGTAACAGTCCAAGTATCAGCCATTCAAAACAGATAAGGAGGCTCTATAGCGCAGGGTCCCAGCTTTCTTCTCTTTCATGGTTTCCCTATCTTTATTCATGGCTCCCACCTCATGATTCAACAGAGCTGCTCCAGCTCCGACCATCACAACTGTGTTCTATCAGAGGGAAAAGTAACTCCAAAGTGGCACAACTTACTTTATATTAGCTTTACTTTACATGACCACACTCACTGCAAGGGAGGCCAAGAAAGGTGATGTTTAGCTGATAGGACCTTGAGCCAGCCAAAAATTCTCTTCTGATGGAAGAAGATATTGGGTCAGCTAATAGTTTTGCCCTATATAACAGAACAGATAAAAGTTTAATTTTATTCATGTGGTTGGACGAATACTCAGACCAAGAGGTGTGAGTAAAAGGCCCCCAAATCCCCAACAGAGTAATGGGCAAGAGGCCGGAGCAAGAAAGGAGCCTGTTTGGAAAAGCTGTCAATGTTTTCTTCAATCAACAAACATGCATTGAGCATCTCCGTTGTGACTGACGCTATAGCAGACGCTGGGTGTGTGCAGCAAGGAAAGTGGGTGAAGAAGCTTGGTTGTCCCCAGTTGACATGATGATCAATTCCTTGCATGCCTTTAATATTCTGCCTCTGTTTACTGAGCACCTAATATATGCCAGGCCTGGGTAGGGTATAATGAAGCAGAAACAAATCCAGCCTGACCCCAAAAGACTCTCACAATGAATAGGCACTGCCCACAAACCACATGGGAAAGCCCGGCTCCCTCTGTTAGAACTGCACTGCCTGGGGTGGGGTGGGGGTGAGGAAAGGGGGAGGGACGGCCTGGTCTTCATCAGTATCAATTGCCTGAGTCCTGGTTCCGACCTCCCCGCCATGCTGTCCATCTCTGGCCCTTTCCCCTCCTCTGATGTTCAAGGTCTAGAGCTGCATTCATGGTCCTCTCCTCAAGGCAGCGGGGATCTCAAGGGACTTGGACTTCTAGAGGTGGCCAGAGCAGGGGTGTGACTGGCTGAGTGTTATCTAGGTGGCATGGGGAACACGCAGGGTGACCCACTCATCCTGGTTTGCTGGGACTTTCCCAGTTTTAGCACTGCAGAGCCTGCCTCCTGAGAACCCCGTTGGTCTGGGGCAGCTAGGGGAGTTGGCCACCCTAGAACTTTGGTCCTACCTGGGTCCTCCCCGATCCCTCACCTTCTAAACCAGTGGTTCTCCACCATGGCTGCCCATTGGCATCTCCTGGGCCCTTTTTAAGAATGTTGCTGCCTGGGTCCCCCTGCCAGACCAATTCATTCAGAGTCTCAGGGTTGAGGCTGGGTGTGAATCTTGTAAAAAAAAAAAAAAATACTCCCAGGGATCCAAGGTAGAGCCAGGATTGTAAGCCCCTCCTTGGGGAGGATGGGACTGAGCCAGGAGTTGGTTGGAGGTAGATTTTTGTTTTCTAGCTCCAGTGGGAGCTGAGGAGGAGTGGAGAAGGAGCACTGAATTGAGGTTCATTGACTCATTCCTTCACCCACTCATTCATTTATTCATCAAATGTACAGGGGACCTGCTATGGGTCAGGAGCTGTCCTGGGGCTGGGGACATGGACTGGGGGAAGAGGGTGATCATAAACCTGTTTTCAAGATGCTTGCATTTGAGTTGGGGAAACAAATAGGCAACAAGCAACTCACCTGGAAACTTCCAGATGAAGATGGGAAGGAACTTGATGGAGTGATGTATTGGATGCATGTGGGTACATCAGCTCCTGAAAGTCATTGGTTGGGTGAGCATCTGGGGGCTTCGCCACTCCAGACCTTTGGCGTCGTCTGCTGGTCTTGAGTCTTCTGGAAGGCAGAGACAGCCCCCCAGGCAGAGTCCCAGGCGTTTGCCAGAGAGTGAGTGCCATAAGGTCCTAGTGTGGCCCCAACCACGGGTGCTCCAGAAAGTGACCTCTGAGCTGCCATCTGAAGGACATGAAAGAGCTGGCTGTGTGACAAGCATTGCCAGGGCATGTGGAGGCCATGCCAGGCAAGGGAGTCGAGAAGGCATAGTCCCCAAGGCAGGTTTGGTGCATTCCTAGAACAGCCACCAAAGACGGTGGGCAGTGTGGCCCGGGCTGGGGAGGAAGAGGGAGTGGCAGGGGCTCAGAATGCAGAAGAAATTCCCAGGTCCAGGCCATGTGGAGCTGAGATTCAACTGTGTAGGCAGGGAAGCCTCTGAAAGGTTTTGAGCAGGCATCTGTGGGACCCAGTTACTGCCGGACAACAAGCTCACTTTGCATATGATGTGGAGAAGAGATGGTAGGGAGGGGCACAAGAGGGAAGAGGAGAGGTGGTCTCACCCCTCTGGGTGGCCTTGACCAGTCCCTTTTCTTCTCTGGGATTCAGCCACTTATCTGGAAAATGTGGCCAAGCAGCCTGGCCCCATGTGCTTCAGAAGGGCACTTCAGCTGTGCACAGTGGCTCATGCCTATAGTCTCAGCATTCTGGGAGGCCAAGGTGGGAGGATCACTTGAGCCCTGGAGTTTGTGACCAGCCTGGGCAGCATAGCAAGACCCTGTTTTTACAAAATAATAATAATAATATATATTTTTAATTAGCTGGTCTTGGTGGTATGCACCTGTATAGTCCCAGCTACTCGGGAGGCTGAGGAAGGAGGATCACTGGAGCCTAGGAGGTCGAGGCTGCAGTGAGCTGTGATTGTGCCACTGCACTCCAGCCTGGATAACAGAGTGAGACTCTGTCTCTAAAAGAATAAAAAATAAAAGAAGCATGTTTGGTGACTCCCATGAGTGGAAGTCCCCTGGCTACAGCTGGATGAAAGTCTCCTGGCTGTGGTCAAACACAGGGAGGTGCTTGACACCACCCTTCAGGTAGAATTGGCCATGCTTGGACCCACCAAGTACAGAACGGGGCCTTTCTCAAGGTCTCTGCTGTGTGGTTGGGCTTTTCCAAGTGAACTGAGCTAAAATTATGAATGGTGAACACAATGTCTTGGAGGCATAAAGGTCAATGAGGCTGAGAAATGAAAATTCAGTCCTCGAGGTACCTTGGCCAAGCAGCCCTGGGGCTGGCTGGTCATCTCACTCTAGACTCTGGGATGCAGGAACCCTGGCTGACAATTTCTGGCAGCAGAGCACCAACTCCACATTCACGCTGAACACAAAGGAAGCTGGCCTGAATTCCAAGAGAGGGGCAGAACTGCAGACGCTTGGATTTCCCCAGACGAAATCCAAGAGTGATCGCATCTCAGTGAAGGTCCCAAATCTTAGTGTGTTCAGATCCTTTCTATCTGGCTGCCAGGAAGCCCAGCTCCATTCATAGTTCCCCTCCCTAAATATATCCTAGAACCCCAACAGAGGCTACGGAGATTTGCTAACACTGAATATCCATGTATCACAGGTTCACTGCCTGCCAGGCACTGTACTAAGGTCTTCACATGAGGAAACAGTGGTACCATTCCCATTTTAGAGTCAATATAATGGAAATCCCGAAACATGAATTCACCTCGTGGAAGCCACTAGTAGGCAGCTGTTGAAATCTATTTTCTCCATCCTCTGTAAAAATAGAATTCAGGGTATGGCGGTGCTTGCCCATAATTCCAGCTACTTAGGAGGCTAACGTGGGAGGATTGCTTGAGGCCAGGAGTTTGAGGCTGTAGTGAGCTATGATTGCACCACTGCACTCCATTCTGGGTGACAGAGCGAGATCCTGTCTCTAAAAAAAAAATTAAAAACAAGGACCGGGCATGGTATTACATGCCTGTAATCCTAGCACTTTGGGAGGCCAAGGTGGGAGGATTGCTTGAGGCCAGGAGTTGGAGACCAGTCTGAGCAACAAAGTGAGACCTTGTCTCTACAAAAAAAAAATTTTTAAGCTATCTGGGTGTGGTGGTGTGCACCTATCATCCTAGCTACTCGGGAGGCTGAGGTGGGAGGATGACTTGAGCCTGGGAGGTCAAGTCTTCAGTAAGCTATGATGGTGCCACTGTACTCCAGCTTGGGTGACAGAAAGGTATCCTATTCTTAGGGA